GAACAACAGCGCCTCTTTTCTTTTCTTTCTCAAAGCCAAGTTTCTCCCTTGTTAGTCAAGCTTTGAAGCCCCTACTATATTATATTATAGGATATTTGAAGAAGCGTAGGTTTAGAACCTATAAAAGGGACTGGTTTTGATCTCGCTTGGTGGTGCCATACTCGATGATTGTTGACTCAACATTGATTTCGTGCTTGAGTTGGATGGGGAGCCCGCCATCCATCTGACTCAAGTAATTCAACATCAAGAGAGAAGAGCCTTTACTTTAGGGTAGGCCAGTCTCGTTCATCGACTGATCACGCGAGTATGCATCCAATCAGTAGCAAGGATAGGACATGGATATTGTAACCTAGAAAGAACCATCCCTCCAGCATAGTTGTGCCGACAAGGTAGGAGTTACAGAGTCTCCTAGCTTCCAAAACTAACTTGATGACCGGTATGATGAATCTTCTTTTGAGCACTCACACCACATTCGTAAAGAAATAGAATCAAAAACTAGTATGCTATGACACTACTAAAACAATTCACAATATTTATTTCATGTGAAGATGTTACATAGGTCATAGTGCACAAAGGTATCCAAATACAAGGATTTGCTATAGTTTTTGAAAACTCTGCAATAAGCACATCATACTTTGAGTTGATATGAAGAATGCGCGAGACTGCTTCATTATCTGAAGAAGAGGGATGTCCATGACCATGACCATCATCTGCCAGTGGAGGTGGCCGAAGATGCACACGATTGTTATATATATATATTCTTCTTCAAGTGGCAATGGAGACTCAAAGAATTTAGTATATGATGTCCAAAATACTGTCATAAGACGCATCTCTAACTCTTTGGCAGCCAATAGCCCCAATGTCATCATACACCACGAGGTAAAAATCCAAGTTCATAAGATGAAAGAATCTATCACAGCAGCCAAAAAAAAAAAAAAAGCCAAACATATTTTCTCCAATCCTCTACAAGATAAAACGATCAATGTTAAGGCTACTCTGCCTATAACTAGCTAGCTTCACATATATAAATAGAAAACAATCAGTTATTGCTAATAAGTCGGTACATTCCCAATATCTCTAGTTTTTTTGGGCATTTCATCAAACATGTTGTAGGCATGTCACAACTGGTCAAAAAACAAATGATCAAAACAATCCAAAACAACGAATTTGAAGCAATGTAGGAGGACAAAACGTTAGACTGTTGTATAATTACATGAACTCAAGAGGGAACTGGAGATCGAGACAAGAAGAAACGAAAAGAATGCAACAAAAATAACAGAAAAAGGAAACGAAAACGTACGAAAAAAGTTAATCGGAGATCGAGCCGAAGACGAATGGTGAAATCGACGAATTAGTTGTTCCGGTCATCGAGAAACGCGGATCCGGCGTTTCCCTGCAAAAATTCTCCGTTGCATTGAATTGGATTGAGGAGAGAGAAGAACATTTTTTTGGCTTTAACGTCAAGAAACTCCACGGAGTCTAACAACTGGAGTATGTAGAGGTGGGGCTGGTACGTGTATTTATGATTCATTAGTTTTTAAGAAGTAAGTCAACGAGTAACTATTTTAAACCCGATTTAATTGATAAATTTAAATTAAATAATAATACCTAATATATTTTTAACCTAGATTAATAAAAAAGAGTACCTAACCCATTAATTTATGAACGAATTGGACAGGTTAGTAGGTTGTGAGCAAGAATTGTCATCGCTAAGATTATGTTTTTGGAGAAAAAGGTTGGAGATTGAATTTTTTATGTAGAAAAAAAAAAATAATCAAAGCCAGGTTAATTTCATAATTTTAGTAAATCAGAGATCACTAGAATTGCAGGTGACTAATTTTCTCATGTCTAACGGCTGAAAAGTAATGGAGGAGTTAATTGTAAAATCTTTAAACTTTGAGGGGTAATTTGTTTAAATTGAAACTAAAAGGAGTTAATTGTGATATGACCCAAACTTTTGTAATTAACCCTTCAAAAAAATTATAGGGATTTGCCCAAAATTCTAACCATTTTACATGTGGTGCCATGATAGCCTTTAAAGGAGACGATATCCTTTTCGACTCTCCCTTATCCAAAAAAAAAAAAAAAAGAGTCCTAACTCCCAAGTCCTAACCAATCGCCATTCACTACACAAATGTTAAATATCAAAATACAAAGAAACAAAAATCATGGCATTGCGTTGCGTTGTTGACGTCATGCTTTAGTCATGTTTCCAGCATTACATTATTTTGTGTCAACAAATTCGTTTGGTGGTCTCGTATTCTTACTCTTGTATTAGATCACTAATAATTATTTGTGCTAGACGGCACTGCCTAACAAATTAAAGAAATTTTTCAATTAAAAGGCATATTAAATAGAGGGGGACTAACGACATTGTGAAATAAAATTTGATACTTTAGCATCCACAATTTCAATATACAATCACATATTCTACGGTACTACTATTATCAACATATTACATGGTGTTAAAACTAGTTTGTCCCCACTGTTAATAATTTGATCTAATTTATTAACTAATTAATTTGCTTAATTTTATTAGAATCATTGGTTAAACATCAAGTTTCAGTGTTCGATTGAATCCAAATTATATTTTTTTTTCATTTAATAATAAATAATTCCATTCAAAGCTTAATAGTTGATACAGTATTAGCATAAAATATTTATTATATTTAATGTTAATCCCCATATTTGAAAATAAACAACACGTGACTAATGGAACACAAGTGCAATGTCAGACCCTCTAGGTGTTATTATTATATGTTGTATTGACAATAAAAAATTTATTAACAATATCAATTCAAATCCAAGCAAATCCAACTTGTAAAAACAAGTGAAAATTGGTAAAAATGTCTGTCCAAATGGTTTTTTTAAGTCATTAAATACATATAGTGTTTTTTTGTAATTCTAATTGTTTTTTTGTAATTCTAGTTATTGTCCATGCTTGAAGACATGAGTAGTAAAAAAATAGTCAAGAATAAACATATTTGTATTCACACCTAAAATCAAATCACAAAATATAGAGGAGAGAAAAAAGAATTTAAGCACCGGGTTCTAGTGAAGGTGAGAAGTTGTAGTGGGTAGTAGGCGGTAGTGGTGGTGGTGGAAGACGATGATAGTTGTGGTGGGTGACAGTGGGTGACGACGATGATGGGTGTTGACGGTGGGCGACGGTGGTAGTAGGATGATGATAGTAATTGTAATAAATATAAGAATGAGATGATGATGACAATGAACAACAATGATATTAATCATTGATGGGTGGCAATGATGGTGGTGGTGGTGGTGGTGGCGGCGGTGGTAGTGGAATAGTGGGGGGGCGAAGGTGGTGCAATGGTGGTGGTGGTGGTGGCGACAGTGAGACTGGTGGGGGTGGGGGTGATGAGGTTGTTGATGGTCATGGGGGTAGTTGTGGGGTGGTGGGGTTTTTTTTGGGGGGGGGGGGGGGGTGGTAAGGATGATGGCGGGACAATGGTGGTGGTGGTAGAGTAATAGCTACAATGGCGGCTGTGGTGGTAACATAGATGGTGGTGGTGGGGGTGGTTGTGGTGGTAGAGAGGTAGAAATAGTTGTGGGGGTGGCAGCGGCAATGGTGGTGGTGGCAACAGTGGTGGTGGTAGTTGTTATGACAAAAATAATGGTGGAGTGGCGGCGATGGTGGTCATAGTGTTGATAATGGTGGGGGCGGTGGTGGGACGATAGGGGGTGGTGGTTGTGGGGTGCCAATGGTGGGGGTAGTAGGGCGGTTCCAAATAAAATTTTTTTTTAAAGTACTTATAAAAAATTATAAGTCGTAAAAATATTTTTTTAAAAAACACCCAAAACACACTCTCTTAGGGACCTATTTTTCCTATTAAATTTTGGGTGTTAATATTAACTGTCAGATTAACTTTAAAATAAAATTGAAAAAGTTTTCAACCGTGAAAAATAAAATTTATTTTATTTATCTTTTAAGATTTAAATTATATTGTACTTTATTGTATAGATATTGTTGATGCCGAGAAGCTTCGAATGGCTCAAATTCAACGTGCAAATCTATTTGTCAAGAAATTTGGCACCAGAGTGGACTGTCGGTGAGCTAGTGCTGGGCTGGTGCTGGGCTACTGAGGAAGCTATCGAATCTCACCAAATGATCTGACACGCAAACAAAAATTATAAAAGGCTCATAATTTTATGATTCAACACAAATTTGACACGACACGACTTGATTGTCACTCGTAATCTTAGCTAACACAAAAAAAAAAAAAAAAATTAGTCATTTTTATTTTTCATCTATCCAACCAAACACAAAGTAAGGAAAAATGTATTATTCCTACTTTCCATTCTTGAAGGATAGAAAGTGCATCCTTTCTATTTTTCATCATTCCTACTTTCCATTCTTCCTACCAAACGGAGTTTTTAAAGTCGTGCATTCCTAATTCAAAGTAGATAATATTGTGTCATGCAGCTCTAGAGCGTTACAATTAATATCAAAGTCATTGACTCTCGTAGTGTGGAAGTCACCAAGGTTCGCATCCCTCGGTGCACCTCGATCTGGCGGGGTGATGACATGGGATGGTAGCAATTACCGTGGTGGGAGTAATCCCTTAAAAGCCTACATCACCCAAGGCAGGGCAAAATTCAAATGACTAGTGAGGTGGATGGAGAGTAGTACATAAGTGTAAGTTTTGGATTTTCGTTGTAAAATGCATTTAAAGTTGAGTGGGACCAATGAAGCACAAATATTTCAAAAGGGTCAAAGTATCCGTATCGGATACTTTTGGATACGGATATGCATCAGATACGCGTCAGATACCTACCGGATACGTCTGAGAAGTATCCTAAAATTAAAAAAATAAATTTTATTTTCAGATACGGCCGGATACATTTTGGATACGAGTGTGATACGTCTAGGATACGCATAAGGCTATGACGGTGTATTACTCAAATTTTAAAAAAGTATATGGTGGGATGAATTTGACATGTACAGTGCTTACCTTGTTGAATGTGATGGGAAACTTTTAATGGCCACTGTATATGAAACGTTTGAGGAGTGGAGGTTTTTCAGGTTTGATTGGTCTGAGATGAGTTGGGTTTTGCAAGAAAGATTGGGAGAGTGGTCATTATTTGCAGGTGGTACTTCTTTTTTAGTGCCAGCAGTGGAGGGTAGGGAATATTTAGCAGAGAAAATATATTACAATATTTTTGGCATGATTGAAGTCTATAGCTTGGATGATAGTTTACTCTATGAGTTGAAGTTTACCAGACTGAATTATTCCACTGCGGTACTAGTTTGTGTTCCTTAAGAGTCACTTTTTACAGTACATTCATTCATCGTTTTTGTTCGACTTAGAATATTAGAAAGATTATCCTTTTTTGTTCGACATAGAAGTGCTGAAGAATCTAAATGCCAGAGTATGAGCACCTTAAAGCCACTCAGTCCCTAGACACCAGATAGGTAGTAATTCCTTAGCTTCTGGAGACCAGTCCCAGCACCAGACACAATCGCACGATATGATAAGTCTCCTCAGGAGAACACAAAAATGTGTGTATTGTATTCTTAGCACCTCTACTTCCCAAAACATACAAACAAACTACCAATAGATGCTGTCAGCCCCCACAGCATCAACCTTTCTTCCACAGCCTGTCAGCCCCCACCCCCTTCAGCCGACGACGAACAATCGTCTCTCCCCCTCTCTCTCTCTCTCACTCACACACATTGAGGATCGACTGACTCTGACTGTATTTGACGCCGATCGACAACAGTCAACACTCAACAACTATCTCCTCTTTCACCTCCGACGAAGGGGTATCTCCTCTTTCACCTCCTCCGACGGGGATCTCCTCTTTCACCTCGGGTATGCTCTCTCCTCTCTCTATTTTTCTATCTCTCTGTCCTAGTGTCTTCTCTTTTGCCTTTTACCAGTGCTAATTCATTTTGAGCCTTGAATTAGGGTTTGCAATTTAGGAAATTTTTTGGGGCCTTGAATTAGGTTTTGCAATTAGAGTTTTTTTTTTAAATTAGATGCACAATAAATTAGATACCTTAGTCTTTAGAATAATTGTACAAAAAATGAAATATTTTATCAGCTCGATTGAAACTCGTTCCATTGGCAAGAAGATCAAATTGCCTATTGATTTGATTTTCAAATTGCCTCGATAATTGATTTTTTGTCCAATTTTTCATACAAATTATAGCAAAAACAAAATTTTACAATGATAGGAGATGCGGTCTTTACATACTCAGTTGGACGTAATTTCATTTTTACCTTAATTGGTTGTGAAAATTGAAAATAAATTAACGATTGGGGAATGAATTAGATGCACAATAAACTAATTTATTTTAAATTATTAGATGCACAATAAATTACTACACTGCTGAGTGTTGATTTATTTTATTAAATTAATAATTATAGGAGAATGCGTACGGGTACGGAAAGTATGGGCTCAACTGGTGGAAGTGGAAGTGAGAGTGGAGGTGGAAGTGGCAGCACCACTCAAGATGATAATTCTCCACTTTGAGCTTTTGTTACTAAATTAGAAAAAAGGGCGGAAGGAGGTGAAAATACTGGATTCCAATGCAATTTATGTCGGAATGAGTATAGTGGATCATATTTTCGTGTGAAAGTACATTTATTGAAAATTACTGGTCATGGGATTAAAGTGTGCTCTAAAGTGACTCCCCAAAAACTTATTGAGATGCAAAGGTTAATTGAAGAAGCAGAGAATAAGATTAAAATGACTATACCAAAGAAAGTTTCTTAGCCACCTTCCTCTTTCGAGGCCCCCATAACTAGGAGTATGGGGATATCAGAAATTGGAACACTTATGGAAGGTTTTGAACCAAGAAAAAAGAAGGCGACTAGAACTAGTGCTTTGGAGAAAGCTTTTAACTTGGGTATTCGGGAAGAATTGCACTCTCACATTGCATGAATGTTTTATTCAGCTGGCTTGCCTTTTCATTTAGTTAGGAACCCATATTATGTGAGTTCTTATACATTTGCTACCACTAATTTGATTACTGGTTATGTACCACCTGGTTACAATGCATTGAGGACCACACTACTTCAAAAGGAAAGGGCACATGTAAAAAGGTTGTTGGAGCCAACTAAATTGTCATGGAAGAAAAGGGAGTGAGCATTGTTACAGATGGATGAACTAATTCACAAAGAAGACCTCTTATCAATTTCATGGCTGCATCAGAATATGGGGCAATGTTCTTAAAAGCTGTCAACTGTGAGGGTGAGATTAAAAATAAGTTTTTTATTGCGAACTTAATCAATCAAGTAATTACAGAAATTGGACCTCAAAATGTGGTTCAAGTAATTACTGATAGTGCTCCTGTTTGTTCTTCTGCTGGATTAATCATTCAAAATGAGTTCCAACATATCTTCTGGACCCCATGTGTAGTGCACACATTGAATCTTGCCCTTAAGAATATTTGTGCAGCAAAAAATCTTGAGAAGAATGCAGTTACTTATGAGGAATGTCACTGGATTACAGAAGTTGTTAGAGATTTAGTAACTATCAAAAATTTCATCATGAATCATTCTTTGAAGTTGTTTATCTTCAATGAGTTTGTGCCTTTGAAGTTGCTTGCTGTTGCAGACACTTGTTTTGCATCTGCTATTATAATGATGAAAAGATTTAAACTCATCAAGCATGGTCTTCAAGCAATGGTAATTAGTGAGAAATGGTCTTCTTACAAAGAAGATGATGTTGTGAAAGCGGCATTTGTGAAGGAAAACATCTTGAGTGACATTTGGTGGGATAAGATAGATTATATACTTTTTTTCATATTGCCCATTTATGAGATGTTGAGGGTTTGCGATACAGACATACCATGTGTTCATTTGGTTTATGAAATGTGGGACATAATGATTGACAAGGTGAAGACAGCTATATATAGGCATGAAGGAAAGCCGGATAATGCAAGGTCAATCTTTTATGATGTGGTACATCAAGTTCTAGTTGAGAGATGGGCAAAAAGTAACACACATCTTCATTGTCTTACACATTCCTTAAATCCAAGGTGACAACTTTTTTTTAGTTTTTACTCTTAAATTACTTTTTTTTTGTTATCAAGTTGGTTTTGAATTTTGATATATTCTAATTTTACAATATAGGTATTATAGTGCATAGTGGCTAAATGAAAATCCCAATCGTGTTCCTCCTCACATGGACGAAGATATTTCATCTATGAGAAATAAATGCTTTTACAGATACTTCCCAAATCCACAAGAGAGAATGAAGGCTAATACTGAATATGCTATGTTCTCTAGTTGTTTGGATCAATTTAGAGAGCACGACTCAAGAGTACATCGAGGATTAATGGACCCTCTCATGTGGTGGTTTTCTCATGAGTCTCCTGCACCAATTCTTCAATCTTTAGCATTGAAATTACTTAGCCAACCTTGTTCCTCATCTTGCAATGAAAGAAATTGGAGTACTTACTCTTTCATTACTTCCATGAAAAGGAACAAAATGACACCACTTCGTGCCCAAGATTTGGTTTTTGTACACAACAATCTTCGTCTCTTATCGAGGAAGAGTAAACAATACATGGAAGGAGATACGAAGCTATGGGACATTAGTGGAGATGCATTTGATTCATTTGAGGGTGCTGGGTTGCTTGAAGTTGCAAGTCTTTCATTTGATGAGCCAGAGATGGAAGTTATGTTATTCCAAGATGGAGGGGATAGAAATGAAGATAATTTTGGAGAAACATCTTAGTAACAAGAGGGACTGTTTTGTTGATTGACTTGTAATAGGATAATATTCCAAATTGCAAATTTTTTGTTGCTTGACTTGTAATTTGATGGTTTCTTTTGTTTAAGCATGAACTTGATATTATGCAATATGTATGTGTTGTTTAAGTATGAACTTGATATTATGTAATATGTATCTGATATAGAATGTATGATTTATGAATGATAGAATGATTAGTTATTATTATATATCTTTTAGTAGATGTGTGTTTCACTTTATAAATCATAATTATTACATTAAATAAAATAATAAAATTTTAAAAAATATATATTTTATGGACGTATGCTAACTGTACTCGTACCTTATTTTTTTTAGTTTTGTCGTATCCCCGTACCCGTTTCGTATCGTATCCATATTTCGTATCCGTATCTGTGCTTCATAGAGTGGGACTAATTCAAAGTAGACAATATTAATAATTATAGTTAAAGTTGTGTGGGCCTATTATTAATGATAATAGTTAAAGTTGTGTGGGCTATTAAAGATTACAATTAGGAAATTTAATTCTTAACTTATAAAAGTATAACGTTTAAGATTCATTTAATATTCATATATTTTGATCTAATGATACAAAATTTATCCAAATTTTTTTTTCTGCTAAAAAATGTCACATTTTTTATACGACTTTCAATGTCGGACAACTTAATTAGCACATCAATACACTCTTCAATGTTAATACCAAAAAATATCATTCATCCACACAGCTCTTTTTTCTCTTCATTTAAATTTTAATTATGTAATTAAAAAAATTAATTTTTATTTAAAATATAAATATTTCAATATTAGTGTTCAATTTTTGGTTGTGTATAGTGTCTTTAGGCACGAAATTATTGCTCGTATATATGTTAGTCATAACTTGTACTTGAAGCCACGATAAAATATAAAATTCGAGAACCTAAAAAATTGATCCCACTATATTAAATTTTTTTCAATATGTTAATACTATTGAATAATATTTGAAAAAAAAAATTGAATATTAAATAATTAAAAATGTGATAAAAATGAATGATGTGTGATGTGATGTGATATTTTAAAAAGAAAAATATAAATAAAATAAAAAAATCAAGTTTTATTATACATGTCACTAAAATTCTAACCATTTCACATGTGGTGGGATGATAGCCTTTAAATGAGATGATTTATCTTTTCTGACTTTTCTGCAGAGTCCCAACGCCCATGTCCTAGCCACTTGCCCTTAACCACACAAACGTTAAATATCAAAATACAAAAAAACAAAAATCATGATATTGTATTGCTGACGTCATTCTTTAGTCATCTTAGTCGTGTACGTTGTCTTTAGATACGAAATTATCACTAATATATATAAGTAAGAATGGATAAAAAAATGAAAATGAGTATTTACTAAGAACAAATTGATAAAAGTATATTTTCCCTTAGATTAATCTTTTAAAAAAGTTGACAACGTCACTAATATTTTAAAAAATGGGTTAATTATAAATTATCCCCTTCAAGTTTGAGTCATACTACAATCTACTCCGTTTTAGTTTCAATTTAAACA